AGTACACTAATGGGGGCTACAGCGCTGGAACAGATGGACAGAAAAAGGAGAGTATATCTGCTCTGTTCTTGCAAGCTACTGGTATTTGGATTAGTTTAGGGACCTGATAGGGTCCCTTTCAGTAACAATGCTGTTTGGAACTTTATTCGTCACAATCAGCTGCATCCAAGGACAACAAGCTTGGTGTGCTTGAAACACACTAAGGCCAGGTTCACATATGTGCAGGTGGTGCCACTGCGGATCTGCACAAAAAGATCCGCACAGAGGAATGCGGACCCGCGGGCGGATGCCATTAATTCTAATGGCACGCCGCCCGCACTGGAAATCGTAACCGTACTGGGAACCGAGGTTCCCGTGCGGGCTGCGTTTTCAGAAGAAGTGCAGGGACTTCTTCCCTGTGTCCCGGGGCATGGGAGTCCATTCAAATGAATGGGCTCTCGTGTCCGCACAAAACGTGGACCGCAAATATGTGAACCAGGGCTTATACTTGGTGATAAGGCTGATATTCTGCATCTGTTTTAGATTTGACAAGTCTTACCTTGGCACTGGGACAGGGCCTGTGAGGGTGGCCACTTCCTAAGTAGTAGCAAATTTTATTTTCTAGCTGAACAGCTAAACAGAATTAAATCTAAAGGGAGGGGAATGTCTGTGATGCCATTTTCGCATGCTTGCCCCTTGATCATCCATGCAGGAGATTGGAGCCTGTATGCATGGTGACTACCAGCATGACTCTAAGGAACCCTGTAGAGCTCTCAAAGCACAGGAGGAGAAAGGGACAAGGGTAATAAGAAACCTTGACTGATTTTTGTGGCTGTAAAGGAGAACCTAGAGTTCAGTAATGAGATATCACTAATAATGTCCTCTGGAGATGAGCCCCGCACCTTATGATGAATCCATCCACATAGTGGTGGTGTCCTTACATTGGACACTTGTCCCTGCCAGATGCACTATCCTGCAAGGCATGGGGTGCATGGGACTATGTGGGCAGACTGTCCTGCAGGAACAGAAGAACAACGGTTTTCCTCTGTTTTCAGCAGAAAAGACATGTTTGGATCACTACGGGAAAGCAGTTTTTACATCATGCTGCCGCTTTGAAAGCATCTAAACTCACAGTAGATAACAGAAGGACTAGGATACAAAATGAGAACAAAGACATGCTGCCCAAAACCAAATTTAAATTTGCCTCACAATATGGGAAATGGGATAATGGGTACAACAGGCACAATGAAGCATTCCTAGCCCTGGTTCACATCTATGCGGCCGTGCGGGCTGTGTTTTGTGCGGGTACAAGAGCCCATTCATTTGAATGGACTCCCGTGCCCGTGACGCGCAGGGAAGAAGTCCCTGCACTTCTTCCGAAAACACAGCCGACATGAAAACCTCGGTTCCCAGTACAGTTGTGTTTTTCAGTGCGGGCAGCTTGCCATTAGAACATTCCTCTGCGGGTGGTTCGGCTGCATGGATTTTCGTGCGGATCCGCAGCAGCACCACCCGCACATGTGAACCAGGGCTGAAAGCAGACTTGCATAGCCTTTACAGATATAATTAAAATTCCTTGAACTTCAGCCTTGCCTTCAGCCTTGCACATGGTCACGCTTCTCTCTACATACTCCTCTCCTGTATTCTGATTTCACTGCACTCTGTGAGCTTCTCACATTGTGCATTAGACACCACAGCAAGTCAGATAGAGCCGGCCTCCTTTCCTGGCTAGAGGATGTCAAGTATTATGTAGCCCTTTTTCTCCTAGCCTCATTATCTCTAACCCACCCCTTTCATTTACTGGGATATCAGTAAATCGCTCAGAATCAGGAAGTTATGTGCAACACTTTGCCGGCTCATCCTAATACTCTGATCTGCCTGCATTGTATAGAAAAGCACAGAGACCTAGTGATGTCACTGTGTCTAAAATAAAGTGTTTAATGGAAACAGGTGTTCCAAAATATTTAATTAGCACATTGATGATGCAGGAAGAAGGGACCAGGGACGGCAAAATATAAGCAGGGTAAACTTAAAGCAGAACTTCACACAAAAGGGGAAGTTCTGCTAGTCTGCGTGTTTCCCCCATCCACTGCCATATTTGGCACTTTTTGGGGGCAGCGCTGTGGCAATCCCACTTTAGGTCAGTGCCGCGGTGATCTGCGTCAGACATTTGGCCCCTCCCCCTTCCCCCATAGCCTTCTGGATGCAAATGGAGAAACAAAGAAAAAGGGTGCACCGACCTAGTGCATTATCGTTTAAAATATTTATTGAAGAAATAATGTAAGTATCATACTCACAATAGACATAAAAACACAGGTATGTCAAACTGAACAAGATGTATGATCCAAACAACATCTGAGTCCATAAGATGGAACCCTGGATGACCAACTGGCTAACGCGTTTCGAGGACACAACCTCTTCCTCAGAGCCAACACTCACACAGGTCCCAGAAGACTGCGGGACCATTCACAAAGCACAGCGTGCTTTGCGCATGCGGACTACAGAACCTGCTGTGGAGCCAATTTCCCTTACTTAAAAGAGAAGTGTGGGATGTTTTTTTATCCCCCATTATACTTACCTAGGTGGATGCAGCATCAGTCCGATGCAGCATCTATCCCCCACCGGCTCTAAGTGTGAGAACTCCGCAGTCACATGACAACTGATCACTGAGTTCTCACAGCTGCTCTGAGCAGAGAGCGGTGACTGTCAGTCGCCGCTCTCTGCTCAGCCCCACCAGCTCTCACTGGAGCGCTGGGCTGTTTAGGGGGAGGAAGCGACTGGCCCAGGCTCTCAGCGGGTTGCTGAGAGGCTGAGCCAGGTGCCGCTGCAGACTCTGGGGTGGATCCTGACTTTAAAGTCGGGATCTTTCCCCAGCCTGGACAGGCTGAGTTATGTCAGCCAACAGTGGACTTCAGTCCGCTGTCAGCTGAAAACGAGTCTCAGGAGTGCATAACGAACTGTACTCCTGTGATCCACAGGAGAAGTACAGCCAAATAAGCTTTGGCTGTACTTCTCCTTTAAGATGCCGGCGCCTGCCTCCGAAGCTGATTGAAGAATCAGCTCGGGTGAGGTCATCGCTGGATCCCTGTACAGGTAAGTGTCTTTATATTAAAAGTCAGCATCTACATATTTACAAGTCAGCATCTACATATCTACATATTTGTAGATGCTAACTTTTATTTTTTGAGGGGGGAGCCTGGAGCATGTCCTCCGACAGTCTTATGACAGAAGTTACTCCCCAGTAATAGCATTTGGTGCCAGTAAGGTAGGTCCTGCATTTTATGGGTTTAAGGTTAATATTCAGATTTAAGTAATGTTAAACTTTCTGAGATTAATGCCGAAATCTGGTTATTTTTTAATAAAGTGTCCCAGACAGGTTATTAAAACCAAAAAATCAATTCAGACGGAAATACTTGCATCCTTCTACACTCACAACAGTAAATTCTTATCACTTGAAGTACGTAGTTCAGGAATCAGGAACTCTGACCTTACCATAACTGCATGCATGTCCAGATCAATGACTTAGAAGGTATTGAAGCCAGAGACAGTCAGACAATTTGCATTCTTAGAGGTAAGTCAGCAGTAGCTACATATATATTCAAGTAAGTTGGTGCAGCGCTAAATGGTAATACACTTTAATATACACAATATCATGCCATTTCAAACATATGTGGATAACGTGGTATCACCTTAAGGTGATTATTAGTGATATAATTAGTTCAATATGATTGTGTGGATCATGAAGAGATCACAGTTCCAAGTGTGTGGACGTTCTTATCCGGGAGTGACAACAGGTGCAAGCCAAACAAATGGATAAAAAACGCATCACCAGATGTGCGTTTTAAAATGCACAATAATCAATCCTGCGTCACCAGGCTATAGATAGGTCATCAGATCTCGGGTCAGGATACCATACGAATCACTTCTGGTATGGTACGTCAGTCAAGACCCACCACTGTCTTGATGCATGTATTGCCAGAGATAGAGTGCGTTTTTTATCCATTCGTTTGGCTTGCACCTGTTGTCACTCCCGGATCAGGACGTCCAGTGGAATGTGTGATCTCTTCGTGGTATCACCTTGATTATTCGTGATATAATTAGTTCAATATGATTGTGTGGATCATGAAAAGATCACAATTCCAAGTGTGTGGACGTCCTGATCCGGGAGTGACAACAGGTGCAAGCCAAACGAATGGATAAAAAACGCACTCTATCTCTGGCAATACATGCATCAAGACAGTGGTGGGTCTTGACTGACGTACCATACCAGAAGTGGGATTCGTATGGTATCCTGACCCGAGATCTGATGACCTATCTATATAGCCTGGTGACGCAGGATTGATTATTGTGCATTTTAAACGCACATCTGGTGAGTGCATTTTTTATCCATTCGTTTGGCTTGCACCTGTTGTCACTCCCGGATCAGGACGTCCACACACTTGGAATTGTGATCTCTTCATGATCCACACAATCATATTGAACTAATTATATCACTAATAATCACCTTAAGGTGATACCACGTTATCCACATATGTTTGAAATGGCATGATATTGTGTATATTAAAGTGTATTACCATTTAGCGCTGCACCAACTTACTTGAATATATATGTACTATTGGAGGTTTTTCTTGGTTGCCTTTCGGTGTATCATCTGCTTATTAACATAACTCGTTGTGTGTATATATATATATATATATATATATATATATATACTTCCTTTTCATTTTATGGTCGCGCTCACTAAAAAATCTTTTTATTAAGTCAGCAGTAGCAGTCCTTGCATCTTCTCAAGACTTAAATTTTAGGGGTCATGTTAAGTTTTACAGTCCAACTGCATTCATTTTTTTCTTCCCCCACCCACCTACAAATGTGAATCCTTACCTTTTAACTATTGGGAGGGGATTAGACAAGCTATGGTTAAAATAGAATGTATTGGTCTTACCAGACAAATATCAAGGTAGTAATACAAAGCATGGGGCTAGGTGGACTTTAATAGGCTAATTTGTAGAAATGGACCATAAATGCATGTCAACTCTCTCCACAGGGTGGATGTTGTATTTATAGATAGGGCTGGCAAGCGCATCCCTGCTAAAGGAAAGATTGGAGAGAGTGTTTTGTACCTTGCTCATAGGTACGGCATTGACTTGGAAGGTAAGCGATTACTGTATGCACAACAAATGGTAAATTTAAAGTGCTTTTAAAGCCTAAACGTTTTTTACCTTAATGCATTTCTTGTGTTAAGGTAAAAAATGTTTAGGTCAATCACCCCCTCGTCCCCCTTATACTTACCTGAGACCTCCCTTGATTCAGCGCAGTAGCTGTCTGCCCCGGCTCTCTCCTTTCTCGCTGCTCTCATGAGCTTGGCTGAGAGCAGCGGAAGCCAATGGTTCACGCTGCTGACTGTCAAATCCTGTGACGAGAGACCAGGGGGCAGGGCCAGCCTGTATAAATACACAGGCAGCATGGCTCAGGATCAGGCCCGCAGGTATGCCACCATACGAAGCGGCTTCCTATGGTGACACACAGAGGAAATGAGGAGTCAGGAGCGCCGGAGGGGGACCCAAGAAGAGGGGAATCAAGGCCACTCTGCAATTGCCTTTCACATAGCGGGTACGTATAAAACCTGTTTATTTTTAAAAATACAATTTTAGATATTACAATCACTTTAACCACTTCCAGACCGGACACTTTTACCCCCTTCCTGACCAGGGCAATTTTCAGCTTTCAGCGCTATCACACTTTGAATGACAATTGCGCGGTCATGCAACACTGTACCCAAATGAATTTTTTACCATTTTTTTGACACAGATAAAGCTTTATTTTGGTGGTATTTATTCACTGCTGGGATTTTTTTTTTTGCTATGTAAATGAAAAAGTCCCAAAATTTTGAAAAAAAGTGTTTTTTTCTATAAAATTTTGCAAATAAATAATATTTCATCATAAATCTTTGCCAAAATTTATTCCGTTATCTTTTTAGTAAAAAAAAAAAAATCCAAATTAGTTTATAACCAAAAATTATAATTTTTAAACATTTTTTTTTTTACATTTTTATTATAATTTTTTGATATTATAATTTTTTTTTTTTTTTTTTTTTTTTTTTTACATACTGTCACCCTAGCAGTACAGTGTCACCATGGTGACACTGTACTACTTGTGGGGGGTGATGAAGTTTTTTTTTTATTTTTACACTGATTGCTTTTACACCCATATAGGATGTAAAAGCAATCATTTCTCTTTCTCTTTGTCTGCATTCTTGCACTCATTGAGAAGTACTGAGTGAGCTGTGATTGGTCACACCTTGTCACATGGTACAAGGCTGTTGTGAATAGCTTTGTACCATGTGACCTCTGTGATCATTCACAGATTTCACACGTAGTAAGCAATGATGTCACAAGTGACATCTTGCTTACTACTTTGCATGTGATCACTGATTGGCCAATCAGTGATCACATGATCGGGACCTCGTACAGAGGTCCCGTCTGACGATTGGTGTTTCACTGTGTCTGGAGGACACAGCGGGCACCGGATCGCGGTGCTGCACGCTCCCAGGGAGCGTGCACAAGCAGGGTGCGGGGAGGCCGTTTATAAACGGCCACCCGACCCTGCACTGCCACCGTCCGGCCGTTTATATGCAACGGCTGGTCGGGAAGTGGTTAAAGAGACCCTGTTTTATAGGTAAAACGTAGCATGTTACGCTCCTGCTGCCTATGCTGATCTGCTGCTAATAACTGTTCCTAACCCACTGGGAAACCAACCCTCTCTTGGGTCCCATACAGCAGCTCTCACCAACCTCCTCATTACTACAAGACAAGGTTGAGACATGAAGGTCAGCAGGAGATGTTGACTGCAGAGCTGACATTTTTATCTTTGCTTAAACCCCATTTCAAGCCTGGAAAAAAAAAATGGGATCCCCCCCCAGCATTTTTTTTAAAATAGCAGCTTCATCTGTTATACCCCACTCCTCTTCAGCACTGTCTCATGCAGACTCTCCCGCTCAGCAACTCGGCTCCACTCAGTTTCCATGTTGAATGATGCTGGGTGTCACTTCCCTCGAGACCAATGCTGCAAGGCTCCATCTTCAGCCCCGCACTAACAGGAGAGTGCTGTAGTGAGCATTTAGGATCCACCCACTGTCAAAATAGCAGAAAACCTGTGGCTGACAAGATCTGGAAAAATGCTGAGAATATTGATTTTGCTGCAGGTACTTCAATAGGGAGTAATGAAAACACTATTGCTGTCCTTGTCCCCAAGACGGGGATTTCCCCTTACTTCCTGTTCAGATGATATCTGTCATGCAAAACAGGAGGAGAGGGGAATCTCTGTAGGGATGCAGACAGCATTGAAGGCTAGATTCCAGGCAGATATAAAAGATATGCATCAATACAGGTCTGTAATCATAAATACGTTGTTTTTGGGTTTTGTTTTTTTTTTTTTCGTTTTTTTTTGTGTAAGTACCTGAATCTGTCTTGGTTTCAGCCTCTTGCAATTAGCAGAGCTCAAACTCACAAAGAAGCACCACCGGGAGCCAATCAGTTGTGCTGCAATGCTAATAGTTATTAGTGCTAATAAGGGATATTCTGATAAGAAGAGAAAGCAGAGTGATAGCGAGATGAGCTATTCAGTGTTCCACTTCTCCTTTCACTGTCCAGTCTCCAGGCTGGTGAAGGAATTAGACCTGTAAGGGTTACTTAAAGCGTTTCTTCAGTCAGGTGTGTGAATATTAAAAGTCAGCAGCTACAAAAACCGTAGCTGCTGACGTATAATAAACAGACCGGTGGAAGCAGATACAAACCTCCTGCGCTCAGAGACCCATATCAGAATACAGTGGGTAGAACCATAAGTTCATCCAATGGCCAATCAAAGGTTGTGCAGCTTAAACACAAGGCTGGGGAAGCTCAATAGAAACTGTAACAGAGAAAAACAAAAGCGCACCAACCTTGCGCATTACCTCAGTGAGTAAAGGGTGAATTTATTAAATTGAGATATACAGTCAGGTCCATAAATATTAAGACATCGACATAATTCTAACATTTATGCTCTATACACCACCACAATGGATTTGAAATGAAACAAACAAGATGTGCTTTAACTGCAGACTGTCAGCTTTAATTTGAGGGTATTTACATCCAAATCAGGTGAATCGTGTAGGAATTACAACAGTTTGCATATGTGCCTCCCACTTGTTGAGGGACCAAAAGTAATGGGACAATTGGCTTCTCAGCTGTTCCATGGCCAGGTGTGTGTTATTCCCTCATTATCCCAATTACAATGAGCATATAAAAGGTCCAGAGTTCATTTCAAGTGTGCTATTTGCATTTGGAATCTGTTGCTGTCAACTCTCAAGATGAGATCCAAAGAGCTGTCACTATCAGTGAAGCAAGCCATCATTAGGCTGAAAAAACAAAAAACAAACCCATCAGAGAGATAGCAAAAACGTTAGGCGTGGCCAAAACAACTGTTTGGAACATTCTTAAAAAGAAGGAACGCACCGGTGAGCTCAGCAACACCAAAAGACCCGGAAGACCACGGAAAACAACTGTGGTGGATGACCGAAGAATTCTTTCCCTGGTGAAGAAAACTCCCTTCACAACAGTTGACCAGATCAAGAACACTCTCCAGGAGGTAGGTGTATGTGTGTCAAAGTCACCAATCAAGAGAAGACTTCACCAGAGTGAATACAGAGGGTTCACCACAAGATGTAAACCATTGGTGAGCCTCAAAAACAGGAAGGCCAGATTAGAGTTTGCCAAACGACATGTAAAAAAGCCTTCACAGTTCTGGAACAACATCCTATGGACAGATGAGACCAAGATCAACTTGTACCAGAGTGATGGGAAGAGAAGAGTATGGAGAAGGAAAGGAACTGCTCATGATCCTAAGCATACCACCTCATCAGTGAAGCATGGTGGTGGTAGTGTCATGGCGTGGGCATGTATGGCTGCCAATGGAACTGGTTCTCTTGTATTTATTGATGATGTGACTGTTGACAAAAGCAGCCGGATGAATTCTGAAGTGTTTTGGGCAATATTATCTGCTCATATTCAGCCAAATGCTTCAGAACTCATTGGACGCCGCTTCACAGTGCAGATGGACAGTGACCCAAAGCAGACTGCAAAAGCAACCAAAGAGTTTTTTTAAGGGAAAGAAGTGGAATGTTATGCAATGGCCAAGTCAATCACCTGACCTGAATCCGATTGAGCATGCATTTCACTTGCTGAAGACAAAACTGAAGGGAAAATGCCCCAAGAACAAGCAGGAACTGAAGACAGTTGCAGTAGAGGCCTGGCAGAGCATCTCTAGGGATGAAACCCAGCGTCTGGTGATGTCTATGCGTTCCAGACTTCAGGCTGTAATTGACTGCAAAGGATTTGCAACCAAGTATTAAAAAGTGAAAGTTTGATTTATGATTATTATTCTGTCCCATTACTTTTGGTCCCTTAACAAGTGGGAGGCACATATGCAAACTGTTTTAATTCCTACATCGTTCACCTGATACCCTCAAATTAAAGCTGACAGTCTGCAGTTAAAGCACATCTTGTTAGTTTCATTTCAAATCCATTGTGGTGGTGTATAGAGCCAAAAATGTTAGAATTGTGTCAATGTCCCAATATTTATGGATCTGACTGTATGTTCAGAGCTCCGAGGAAGAAGGGATCTCCCTTCGAAATGCGTGAGATTGCTTTTGAGTTTCCTCTCTCGATGGGACCCGCACCTGTCTGCTATTCTAGAACGCTGATGTTGGATTTTATATGCTTTTACCTATGCTACTTTTGTGAGTATATATATCTCAATTTAATAAATTCACCCTTTACTCACTGAGGTAATGCGCAAGGTTGGTGCGCTTTTGTTTTTGTTCTCCGTTACAGTTATAATAAACAGACACTCACCTTCCCAAGTATCCAGCACCGTCGTCATCCGAGCCAGTTTCTTCACTGATCTTTGGTCTCTGGTGCTAGCATGTCAACTGTCGGCAGCCAGCTGTGACTCCTTGCTGCCCACTGCGTATGTGCGAGCCACATTGCTCTTTGTGAATGGTCCCGCAGCCTTTTATGGGGGAGAACGTCCGCTCAGATCACCTGTCAAAAACTAGTTACCTTTCCCCCCCCCCCCCCCCCCCCAAAAAAAAATTCAATGCAAACATGGCCGAGGGGGGAGGTGCAGGAAGAGCGGATTTTCCCTTTTAGGAGTTCCGCTTTATCTGCGGCAGAGAAGAATTCTCTCTTCTGCCATGCCAGACAGGGTACTGTGCAGCACAAATCTCTGTATAAATCTCAGAAGTGGTCAGAAAGAAATATAGTCCTTTTGCAGGTAAAAGTGGTCCCAAATATGTATTGTAGTTGTTTGCCTGGAGTTTAGCTCTCTTTTAGGTGAACACAAACAGTAAGACATGGCAGAAGCTCTAAGCCCCTCTCCATTCAAAATACTGGAGGAATTTACCCAAATTCAACCCTCTTCATTTATTATTGTAATGTAGTCAGGTTGCATTTAATAAATGTCTCTTGTTTACTTTTTATCAGCTAGATACTGCAGCAATAAATTCTGTGCTACCAACATATAGGGGAGTTGGTCCAAGGTTATCGCACACAAGCAGCTGCCTGCAGAATGCCCGAAGCTCCCTGCAGAATGCTGCATCAATCATCACCATTCTCCCTTCTTGAACAAAGCTGTTGATTAGAAGAGTGTTCAGGATGGTGTGTTGGAATGCTGGGCTGCTGTTTGTACACCCTTGCTGCACCACTTGATAAAGAAAAAAAAAAAAAATTAAAAGTAAAAAAAAAAAAAGTAAAAATTCTCCTCTTCATTACTGTACATGCAGTCTAACAATTGAGCTTTAATAATTCAGCTGTCATTTTATTGTCCTCCCTTTACCACAATGTAATACGTATTTTGCTGCACACAGGGGCCTGCGAATCTTCCCTCGCCTGTTCCACGTGTCATGTCTATGTCAGCCCAGAGTATTTTGATCAACTTCCTGAGCCAGACGAGAGGTAATGTAATTCAAACTGTGTTAATCAAATATGAGATGTTAAATAAACCCGCAATTCTCAAACATTTCTTACCCACCAAGGCCTAGGAAGTTTCTTACAGATGGTACCTGTCAGGGACCATCGCGACGCATGGGTCTACACATGCGTAGGTGTCTGTCAAGACATGCAGGCAGCAGGGCACTAGGACCCAGGCGCACTCGTCGTCTATGACAGTACTGGGCAGGCATTAGGACCTAGGCTGCGCCTGTCAGGTGCAGGGCGGGCTACTTAAACCAGCCCTGCACAGACACTTGTTGCCGAATGGTCTTTCTGCATATCCTGTTACCTGTGTTGTGAGTACTTTGATCCGGATTATCTGACCTAGCTGCCTTCTCCTGTTCTGACCCCTTGGCTTGCCTGACTCTGCTCCTGGATGTTCCCCTTTAGATTTGATCTCCTGTTATTGACCCTACGTGTGACTCGACCTTTCTTTGCCTACTGTTTTTTACCGCACCGACCCCCCGGCTACCGACATAGCTTGTTTGACTCTGCCCTTGCTCATTCCTCCATCCATCCCTCAGGGATCCCCGGGTCCCCTCACATCAAACTCTCACCCTGCAGGAGCCTCCGACAGACTCCTCTACCACTGATAGAGATATCTGGTAGCTGTGACCTGGTCCCGGAGCACTCCAAGTCCATCCCCACCATCAGGGGCCCTGGTGAACAAGTGCTCCGGAACTTAGACTCCGCACACTGGAGAGGCTCTATCAGGGGACTGATAGAGGTGCTGTCGGGTGGTCCGTTACAGTACCTGAGCAAAATCTGGTGATGGTTTTACTGGGGGTCTCTCTGACCATTATTATTATTTATTTTTTTAAGTATTTTTTCTTTTTCTGTTTCCATCATAATGTACTTATTAATATAGTCGTCAGAAGTTGAATACTTAGCCGTGTGTTTGGTGGTAAGTCAAAGTTGTGCTCTCTTCTACAGTTATTGTCACCACTGATATTTGATAATTTTGTGTGTGTCCGATAGCATGTCCCCTGCTGGGAGCTGTGGTTCCTCTGGCCAGCTGCTATGTCATTGCTGCCAATGGAAGGAACCATTGTGGTCCCCATAGGTGTGAACTTTAATATACAAATGACAGGAGGGGAAAGATGAAAACTGGAGGAGACCTTCAGACTGGAGGAGACCAGTAAATAGGAAAGATCCATGGAGAGAACTATCTTACCCTGAGACATTTTAGTAGTGTTTCTATATGTAAAAGGCTTGGCTGTAATCTCCTGTTCTTTCCATTGTTATAGACAATAGAAAATCTTTCTTTGTTTCTATTACACAAAGGAAATGTTTGTAGTCAGTACAAAATGCTCCTAAAAGTACCCTGCTAAGATTCAAAAGAGAGCAACCGTGGTGCTCCTTTTGGATGAAACCAGGAAACCTCTCACAGGAACTGTCAACTTGAAAGAAAGGAGCTAAGACTAGAACTTGAGCCTCCAAGTGACACACTCATATTGCCCATTCAGTCAGGTCCATAAATATTGGGACATCGACACAATTCTAACATTTTTGGCTCTATACACCACCACAATGGATTTGAAATGAAACGAACAAGATGTGCTTTAACTGAAGACTGTCAGCTTTAATTTGAGGGTATTTACATCCAAATCAGGTGAACAGTGTAGGAATTACAACAGTTTGCATATGTGCTTCCCACTTGATAAGGGACCAAAAGTAATGGGACAGAATAATCATAAATCAAACTTTCACTTTTTAATACTTGGTTGCAAATCCTTTGCAGTCAATTACAGCCTGAAGTCTGGAACGCATAGACATCACCAGACGCTGGGTTTCATCCCTGGTGATGCTCTGACAGGCCTCTGCTGCAACTGTCTTCAGTTCCTGCTTGTTCTTGGGGCATTTTCCCTTCAGTTTTGTCTTCAGCAAGTGAAATGCACGCTCAATCGGAGTCAGGTCAGGTGATTGACTTGGCCATTGCATAACATTCCACTTCTTTCCCTTAAAAAACTCTTTGGTTGCTTTTGCAGTATGCTTTGGGTCATTGTCCATCTGCACTGTGAAGCGGCGTCCAATGAGTTGTGAAGCATTTGGCTGAATATGAGCAGATAATATTCCCGAAACACTTCAGAATTCATCCGGCTGCTTTTGTCAGCAGTCACATCATCAATAAATACAAGAGAAGCAGTTCCATTGGCAGCCATACATGCCCACGCCATGACACTACCACCACCATGCTTCACTGATGAGGTGGTATGCTTAGGATCATGAGCAGTTCCTTTCCTTCTCCATACTCTTCTCTTCCCATCACTCTGGTACAAGTTGATGTTGGTCTCATCTGTCCATAGGATGTTGTTCCAGAACTGTGAAGGCTTTTTTAGATGTCGTTTGGCAAACTCTAATCTGGCCTTCCTGTTTTTGAGGCTCACCAATGGTTTCCATCTTGTGGTGAACCCTCTGTATTCACTCTGGTGAAGTCTTCTCTTGATTGTTGACTTTGACACACATACACCTACCTCCTGGAGAGTGTTCTTGATCTGGTCAACTGTTGTGAAGGGAGTATTCTTCATCAGGGAAAGAATTCTTCGGTCATCCACCACAGTTGTTTTCCGTGGTCTTCCGGGTCTTTTGGTGCTGCTGAGCTCTCCGGTGCGTTCCTTCTTTTTAAGAATGATCCAAACAGTTGTTTTGGCCACGCCTAATGTTTTTGCTATCTCTCTGATGGGTTTGTTTTGTTTTTTCAGCCTAATGATGGCTTGCTTCACTGATAGTGACAGCTCTTTGGATCTTGTCTTGAGAGTTGACAGCAACAGATTCCAAATGCAAATAGCACACTTGAAATGAACTCTGGGCCTTTTATCTGCTCGTTGTAATTGGGATAATGAGGGAATAACACACACCTGGCCATGGAACAGCTGAGAAGCCAATTGTCCCATTACTTTTGGTCCCTTAACAAGTGGGAGGCACATATGCAAACTGTTGTAATTCCTACACCGTTCACCTGATTTGGATGTAAATACCCTCAAATTAAAGCTGACAGTCTGCAGTTAAAGCACATCTTGTTTGTTTCATTTCAAATCCATTGTGGTGGTGTAAAGAGCCAAAATGTTAGAATTGTGTCGATGTCCCAATATTTATGGACCTGACTGTATATGTGAACCCATACCTTGTCAAAGTCTACAATCAAGAGAAGACTTCACAAGAGCAAATACAGAGGATTCACCACAAGGTGCAAACTATTCATAAGCCTGAACAATAGAAAAACCAGATTAGACTTTGCCAAAAAACATCTAAAAAAGCCAGACCAGTTCTGGAAAAGCATTTTTTGGATGGATGAAACGAAGTTTAATCTGTACCAAAATGACGGTAAAAAAAAAAAGTGTGGATAAGGCTTGGAACAGCTCATGGTCCAAAGCACACAACGTCATCTGTTAAACATGGTGGAGGCAGTATTATGGCATGGGCATGGGCAAAAGTGTGGAGAAGGCTCTCTGCTGCATAAGGGGCTTAGAGAGTAAGGTGTGGAGACTGCAGAGGGGGTCAGCAGGAGACAGAGAAACAGCAGTTCCCTGACCTTCCTAGTGCAGAGGGGGGGTGTCAGCACAAGTCTTACCATTGGAGTACATGCAGGCTCACAAGTAAAATACAGAGAAGAATGCTGACCTTGCTGGGATGGATGTGCTTCCATATATAGCATGACCAATTTGAAATAGGAAAATCAGGGGGACTGAGATGATCATCACGTATTTCACACAAAAGAAGCAATGCAAAGAGAATAGTATAATGTAATGCTTCCTGATAGCTCACTGCCCTGCAAGGTACCTACACCCTCCCATGCTCCCCTCGTTACATCTCTAACAGAGTGGGACTTGCACATATGGGGGAGCATGTGACATTGCTTCCACATCAACATGAGTGATCAACTCACACACCCAAACACTGTTACATGCATCCCTTTGCCTGGGCAGGTGACAGTGTCTCTTTAAGTGTACTTGGCTTCACCCCTTTATCCAAGCCTTCTTGGATAAATAAAATAAAAATGAAGACATAAGTGGTCAACATGCTGTTATCAAAATTATAGAATGAAATTCCACATACCAAAATAAATGACTCTCATCCTGTGGTTCTTTGTCTGGGAAGGCTGAGCCTTGGAAAAGCAGATGCTCCCTGCATAGAAGGAGAATCAGATCCTTGAATGACCTACTCCTTAGGAGAGTTAAACAGGATTTTTTTGGCTGCCCATGATCACTTTTTGCATGCTTTTCCAAAACTGTTTTCTAGAAAGACTGACTAAAGGAAAGATCTAGATTCCCACCTCTGTTTGCGGATATTCAGGCCTTCTGCATGGTCGGTTTGTGGCTGTCCACAGGAGGAGACCCGATATTAGAACACCACTGGTATCAGGCACTGCTCTATTTAGGTCCTTCCTGAATGTTTCCTCTCAGGTGAACAGCTCTTCTTGCAGTGTATACTGTGTATATTTTTTTTCTGAGAACAAATTTACAGGATTTGTTGTAGATGCAGAAGCCTCCTTGTACCACCCTGGTGATTGATTTGATTGATTGATGAACCGCCACTTTAATGCTAGGCATACAATCTGTTAGACCTGAAGAGTTTTATGAAGTTAAGGGGCATTACTGCCTGTTGGCAGGTAGAAGGGGGACCTTTGTGCCCCAACCTCCAGGCTTACATCTGTGGTAATGGATATACGGTCTTTCTTGTTCCAATGGACACATCCAAGATGATTTTGGTAAATTTTCTGTTTTCCTGCCATAAGGCAGAACCTGAAACTGAAGGACTAATTGTTCTTCCAGGAACAGTGTGATTCTCAGGTATTTTTGCACTTCCAATATGGATACACCAGCCTTTCCCAACCAAGGTGCCCAGGCACCCTGGTGTACCTTGAGGTTTCTTCAGGGGTGCCTTGGCAAAATGTCTAAAAATTGCGCAAAATATGTATACAAGCCAGCGGGTGGAACAAGCCTGCCTTTTAGTTACACTAAGCCACAGGTTTCCATTGTGCACCATTACGACCTTCTAGCAGCCGGCGTCCTGACAACCAATGACATCATCAGTTGATAATGAGGATGCCAACTGCCTGCACAGCATTCTAGCTTGACCCTCCCCCACCCCTCTCCATCAATGCTGGGGTCACATTAGCTCAGTGAGGGAGAAGAGAAACAATGGAATACTAGTCAGTACCAGTTTGCAAAAGTGTATTTTCTTTAAAAGAATAAATCCCCTCTAATGTTGGGTGTCCTACATGTGTGGATGTTGCTGAGTTATATAAAACTATTAGAATAGCTTTTCACATTTTAGAATGGGGTGCCTCAGGAGTGTCCATAATTTTAAAGGGTGCCTTGACTGAAAAAAGGTTGAGAAACACTGGGATACACTAATGAAAATATGCATTCCTTTTGTCCATGTTTGACATGCTGGACTAGCACATTGCTTACCTTACCACCTTCTTTTCGAAATTTTTTTTTTTTTCAAAGCCCAACTTACTGCTTACTCTCTCCTCCCTGTTGTGTGCCTTTAGAACGTCTTTCTATGGCAGTAGCCACTGCACCACTTCCAGGTTACATAACACCAGCCTCATCCAACCTCTTTTATTGTCTGCAGCCAGCCTGTCATGAACATGGTCTCTGGTATTCTGGAGAAGAGGGGCTCGTCATCACCTCCTCTGTTCATTGTACCGATTATGATTACACAACCTGCTCACCATTGCGGATGCAGCTATGATTATTGGGATGTCTAGTCCCCGAGTGATGGCAGACGTCACTGCTTTGCTTTATCCATGCTGTGTAAAAGACAGCGAAAATGTCCATGGTCATGTAATGATTTGATTTTTAAAGGTTTCTCAAAGCAAAGGTTTGAATTCTGGGCTGTTCTGATGACCTGAGGAATCCAAGTTTTAGCTCCTGACTTTTCTATCAGAGACGATGACTTACTTGGTTTACTAAAGGCAGACAAGTTGTTTACTTTGCAATTAAATTTAGCCATAGTCTAATGGGCAGCACAGTGGTTAAATGGTTAGCACTTCCGCCTGGCAGTACTAAAGTCGTCGGTTCGAACCCCAACCACTCCTGCCTGGAGTTTGCATGTTCTCCCTGTGCCTGTGTGGGTTTCCTCTGGGTACTCCGGTTTCCTCCCACACTCCAAAGACATGCTGGTAGGTTAATTGGCTCCTTCCTAAATTGTCCCTAGTATGTGTATGTATGAATGTGAGTTAGAGACCTTAGATTGTACACCCCTTGAGGGTTAAGGACTGATGTGAATGTACAATAGATATGTAAAGTGCTGCGTAGATTGATGGCGTTATATAAGTACTTGAAATAATAATAATGCAAGGGAAATTTAAAAACAAATGGTATTTTTTTCTTCCATGGATTGGATGATGGAAGCCAGCCTCATTCACTAAGCTATGGGCAGCACAGTGGCTAAGTGACTAGCACTTCCGCCTAACAGCACTTTGGTCACCAGTTCCAATCCCAACCATGACACTACCTGCCTGGAGTTTGCATGTTCTCCCTGTGCCTGCGTGGGTGTCTTCCGGGTACTTCTGGTTACCTCCCTCACACCGAACATGTGGTAGGTTAATTGGTAGGTTGCTGGTAGGTTAATTGGCTCCTGTCTAAATTGGCCCTAGTACAGTGGGGCAAAAAAGTATTTAGTCAGCCACCAATTGTGCAAGTTCTCCCACTTAAAAAGATGAGAGAGGCCTGTAATTGGCATCATAGGTAGACCTCAACTATGAGAGACAAAATGAGAAAACAAATCCAGAGAATCACATTGGCTGATTTGGAAAGAATTTATTTGCAAATTATGGTGGAAAATAAGTATTTGGTCAATATGAAAAGTTCATCTCAATACCTTTATATATCCTTTGTTGGCAATGACAGAGGTCAAACGTTTCCTGTAAGTCTTCCCAAGGTTGGTACACACTGTTGCTGGTATGTTGGCCCATCCTCCATGCAGATCTCCTCTAGAGCAGTGATGTTTTGGGGCTGTCGCTGGGCAACACGGACTTTCAACTCCCTCCAAAGGTTTTCTATGGGGTTGAGATCTGGAGACTGGCTAGGCCACTCCAGGACCTTTGAAATGCTTCTTACGAAGCCACTCCTTCATTGCCCGGGCGGTATGTTTGGGATCATTGTCATGTTGGAAGACCCAGCCACGTTTCATCTTCAATGCCCTTGTTGATGGAAGGAGGTTTGCACTCAAAATCTCACGATACATGGCCCCATTCATTCTGTCCTGTACATGGATCAGTTGTCCTGGTCCCTTTGCGGAGAAACAGTCCCAAAGCATGATGTTGCCACCCCCATGCTTCAAAGTAGGTATGGTGTTCTTTGGATGCAACTCAGCATTCTCTCTCCTCCAAACACGACGAGTTGTGTTTCTACCAAACAGTTCTATTTTGGTTTCATCTGACCATATGACATTCTCCCAATCCTCTTCTGGATCATCCAAATGCTCTCTAGCAAACTTCAGATGGGCCCGGACATGTACTAGCTTAAGCAGGGGGACACGTCTGGCACTGCAGGATCTGAGTCCCTGGTGGCGTAGTGTGTTACTGATGGTAGCCTTTGTTACGTTGGTCCCAGCTCTCTGCAGGTCATTCACTAGGTCCCCCCGTGTGGTCCAGGGATTTTTGCTCACCGTTCTTGTGATCATTTTGACCCCACGGGGTGAGATCTTGCGTGGTAGAGCCCCAGATCGAGGGAGATTATCAGTGGTCTTGTATGTCTTCCATTTTCTAATTATTGCTCCCACAGTTGATTTGTTCACACCAAGCTGCTTGCCTATTGTAGATTCAGTCTTCCCAGCCTGGTGCAGGTCTACAATTTTGCTTCTGGTGTCCTTCAACAGCTCTTTGGTCTTCACCATAGTGGAGTTTGGAGTGTGACTGTTTGAGGTTGTGGACAGGTGTCTTTTATACTGATAACAATTTCAAACAGGTGCCATTGATACAGGTAATGAGTGCAGGACAGAGGAGCCTCTTAAAGAAGAAGGTACAGGTCTGTGAGAGCCAGAAATCTTGCTTGTTTGTAGGTGACCAAATACTTATTTTCCACCATAATTTGCAAATAAATTCTTTCCAAATCAGCCAATGTGATTGTCTGGATTTGTTTTCTCATTTTGTCTCTCATAGTTGAGGTCTACCTATGATGCCAATTACAGGCCTCTCTCATCTTTTTAAGTGGGAGAACTTGCACAATTGGTGGCTGACTAAATACTTTTTTGCCCCACTGTATATGTATGTATGAATGTGAGTTAGGGACCTTAGATTGTACGCCCCTTGAGGGTTAGGGACTGATGTGAATGTACAATATATATGTAAAGTGCTGCGTAAATTGATGGCGCTATATAAGTACCTATACTAAGAAAATAAGTAATAATTCCCTTACAAAGTGAACAGTCTATTTGTGTTTAGTAAATCAACCCAAATGTGTCTGAAGGGAAAACGAATCTGCAGTGCCATCTGCTGCAACATCTGAGATGATGACATCCATTGAGACAATACCTTTTTGCTGTTTCTGCTACTACATGAACAGGGGTGGGGGACACTCTCATGTTAGGTAGGAGTAGGAAGAAGGAACTTGTGTTGGGTAGTTGCATTATTAGCCTGTTGGTGGAGATCTTTTGCAGTCTTTCTGTTTATAGTACTCTCGTATCTCACAAACAAACAGTTGGTTGCAAAATGTAATTTTTATTACCAAATGTTGCAAGTATTCTTTGATTAACAAAGGCATGCCGGTTTAACCCCTTTGCGCTGATGTCACACAAATATGCGGCCTCACAGTACTGGGCTTTTTTCCATGAGGGCCGTATATTTGCGTACCTGTCTTTCTGCTGGGAGCGCGCCACGCAGCGCACTCCCAGCACAAATACGGGGGTGTCACTGAGAGCCCCAGGTCCCGTTCTAATGATCGTGACCCGGGACTCGATTCCAGGTCACATGATAGCTGTGATAGCCTCTGATTGGCTAACACAGTGATCAGTCACTGTACAGCCCATCACCCTGGTTTTTTTTTTTTTTTTCTCTCTATGTATGGAGGAGAGAGATACATTGTATCTCTCTAACTCCTGGCATAGAGGGAAAAAAATGTTTGTTAAAAAACAAAACAAAAAAAAGATAAAAAAATAAATATTAAAAAATAAACCAAAGGTTTGATCTAGTTCAGTGCCAGGGTAAGTGTTTGGGTCAAGGTCAGGGTCAAAGATCAAGGTCAATGGTCAGGTTTTTTTTTTTCTTTTTTAAAATTGGTATCAGTGTAAGTGTGTTTTTAGGTAAAACAAAATGTTTCTGGGCTGTACTACGGGTACAAACAACAAATAACACACATATATGGTATCGCTGTGATCGTCAAGAGCTGGAAATTTTATATATATATATATATATATACACACGCACAGTGTGTGTGTGTGTATATGTATATGTATATGTGTGTGTGTGTGTGTGTATGTATGTATGTATGTATATATATATATATATATATATATATATATATATATATATATATATATACACTACAACTTTTTAACACAAACATTGCAGTAGAAACCACACATCTGGAGCTCTATTTAGGTTTATTGATTTGAATAGGATCACAGGGGTCACTATAATTCTCATTTTTTTTTTCCCTCTGTTGCAGGGAAGATGATATGTTAGACATGGCACCATTATTACAAGAGAACTCCAGACTTGGATGTCAAATTATTCTCACTAAAGAACTGAATGGAGCCGAGTTTACACTTCCCAAAATAACCAGAAACTTTTATGTGGATGGACATGTTCCCAAACCGCACTGAGGAGGGTGCAGGAGAGTCCTAATGGTTCACACATGATGATACGCACAAGAGAGAAGGTGTTGCTAAACAGGAATTGTCTGTCCAGAGAATCCTTCTTGGAGCACAAAGCAAACTGGTACACTAAAGACTGCTCACAATGTACTCTACTATTAGCTTTACAGCAGCTTTGCAGGCACAATTCACTTAAATCTGATTTTTTTTCTTCAGTGTTAAACCAGAGAGTTAAACCTCCTGATAGTTTATTCTATGTCTCACGCGTTCTCTTGGAAAGATCTTTGGATGAAGTTCCCAGGTCTGTACACCTGCTATACCCATTATGAGGGGTCCCATCATCCTTGAGCTGGGGTCCTGGCTCTACATACCTGCTGTGCCCATTATGAGGGGTTCCCACCGATTTTAAGCTGGGGTCCTGGTCTATATACCATTTGTGCCCGTTAGGGGTTCCCACCGTTTTTTAGCTGGGGTCCTAGGTCTATATACCTGCTGAGCCCATTGCAAGGGATTCTCCCCATCTCTTCACTGTGTTCCCAGATCTGAAAACCCACTGTGCCCATTATGAGGGATTCTCACCATCCCTGCACTGTGTTCCCAGGTCTGCAAACCCACTGTGCCAATAATTCCCTCAAACCATCTCTTCCAGATTTTATGTTATATTATGGAAGATGTAACAGGAGAAACTGGAACTCACAAAAATAGGCGAGAACACCCAAAAACTCCCAGGTGGACTGGATCAGATCTGGGAATTTTGGTAGGGAGATCTCACTGTTGGAACATCCAAGACACGGAAGAGACTAGAGGCTGACTTTGTCCACGCCATTCCCTCTGAAATGAAATATTTTTTGTGCCACTGGGAGAATGAGCCAGCCTCTCCCTCCTCTCTAAAGCTTGGCGCTCCAGTGAGTGCTGGAGGGAATCAATGAAACACAAGTACAGTGATATCAACGCACTTCTATCCATCGACACTTCCTAAAGGTCTGTACTTCGGTCTGGACCCGTGGCTGTGAAAGTGTCTGTAGGAGCCTTGCATTCCATGCGTGGTCAGTAATGCTTTCCAGCCTCCTATGTAAAAATTAATTAAATAAATAAATGCACTTTTTTTTTTTTTAAACCAAGATGGGTGCAGTTATTGCTTTTCAGAAGGGTGACAAAGCTTTTAAAACCAATAATTTCCAGATTGTTTTTACATAGTGGCAGTGAAATGTTTCTTCTTTGTACCCCAATTCCATTTTAGCACTTCCCTCCAGTCTGGCCAATAGAGAAACCGGTGAATATGCCCATTGTAACCTCTCTAATGATGTTTCTATTTGAAGGAACACTTTTTCCTTCTGACCCTTCTTCTAAAAATGTCAACTGCCTGGTTGTCTGCAGCTTCTCCAGTCACAAACCTGGAACCAGCATAGAGCTGGGAAAAGCCAAACAAGGGCTCCATGTACACGGGGCATTTGGAAAACTCTTCTGAACAATGGAAACTTGACTGCTGGAAAACGTAGGTTAAAAAAAAGTTAGTTTAGCCACGTTTGCATACCGCGTTTCTGCGCGTTTGCGTTTAGAAGTGTTTTTTAAAAGATAACCTCAGGAGACCTTCCCAAATGTCCAGAATGCACTGAAAAACAGTAAAAAAATTAACTATTTCAGACATTTTGAGAGGAATAGAGAGAGCAGAAGCAGAGAGAGCAGTATGTGTTGACATTAGCTGTCTTTGCTGGTTGTATTCACTATGGATCCCATCATGAGCATAATGCGGCACGTTCTACCATTTTTTTCCTTCATGTGAAACCTGGAACTGAGTGTGCTGGTGTACCGGGTCCATTTGAGTACATGGAAAACGCTTTGCATGAATTTCTGATGATGGAAGAAGGCTCTGGACAGCATCTGGATATGAAACAGTTAAAAAATGCTTCTAAATGCAAACGCTTCTAAATGCAGTTAACTGCATTGACAAGCATTTGGCATTTGAAAAGCCGATAAAATCTACTCCTGAACACAAGTTTGGTGCATTCAAATAAACGACTGTAAACTCAACTGCCTGTAAACGACTGTAAACGAAGATGTGTACATGGACACATAGGAGAACACTAGGGAGAGTTCAGGGGCTGCTGAAAAAAAAAACCCAGAAAAGCTCCTGAACGTCAGTTTATCAGCTGCAGTGTACATGAGCCCTTAAAACTCAGAAATTTGTATCTGCATAAACTAATAGATTACAACAATCGTCAGCCATTGCGGCTGATGGCTTGTAGTTCTCATTGAACTGCAGGGGCGCTGGTGAGTCAATTCGCAGTCTATAGATTCTTCCTGCTCTCAAATAACTGCCTGCCCTGAGAGTCTGCAGGAGCATGGCACTGCACCCATGGTCTGCTGACCATGGGTGCAATGCTATGCCCTGAAAAAATGTGCATTTATTATTTTTTTTATCTAAAAGTGAACTTATCCTTTAAGTCACTTAGACCCCTAGCATTAGAACTAGACTTAACAACCCACTGCTGGGGGTGCTATAACGGTATAATTTTCACAGCAGAGTTGCATTTCACCTTTTTGGCACTTTTGAGTCCTGCCGTGCCTTTTACTAATGTCATACTGTATACAGGTAATTCTCAGCACTCCTGCAGGTAAATAGAGTGTTTGGAGCGCAGGAAAAGTAAGGACCCTTTCACACTGATGCACTGTGTTTTCTTGAGAGATCCAAAGACCAGATTACTAAATATTTGATTCTTGTATTTATTTATTTTTAAAAAATGAGAATTTATTTATTTTCAAACAACCTAGTACAGACATTGCAGAAAAGAAAGCCTCACTGAGGTATTTCCATATACAGTTGTGTTCAAAATAATAGCAGTTTGTTGAAAAAAGTGAATAAAGCTAAAATCCTTCTAATGGCTTTTATTTCCATCCACACAAATGCGTTGGGAACACGACACATTCTATTCCAAATCACAACATGAAGAAAAATATATCAAATTTGTGTTGTTCCTCTAAAAAAAATTGAAGAAAAGTGAATATTAGACAGTTCAAAAAAATCGCAGTGTTTGTATTCTTTACAAACTCAAACATTCACTATATAAACTGAAAAATGTTTGAAGATTTTGCTTTCCTTTGAATGACTTCATGAATATTTGGTTGTAGTCGCACTGTTTCTGAGAACTGCTGTACATCTGTGTTGCATGGAGTCACCCAACTTCTGGCCCCTGTGATCAGGTATTCCAGCCCAGGATGATTGGACGACATTCCACAGTTCTTCTCTACTTCTTGGTTTTGCCTCAGAAACTGCATTTTTGATGTCACCTCACAAGTTTTCTATTGGATTAAGATCCGGGGATTGGGCTGGCCACTCCATAACGTCCATCTTGTTGGTCTGGAACCAAGATGTTGCACGTTTACTGGTGTGTTTGGGGTCGTTGTCTTGTTGGAACACCCATTTCAAGGGCATTTCCTCTTCAGCATAAGGCAGCATGACCTCTTCAAGTATTCTGATGTATTCAAACTGATCCATGATCCCTGGTATGCGATAAATAGGCCCAACACCGTAGTATGAGAAACATCCCCATATCATGATGCTTGCACCACCATGCTTCACTGTCTTCACAGTGTCCTGTGGCTTGAATTCAGTGTTTGGGGGTCGTCTGACAAACTGTCTCCACCCACTAGACCCAAAAAGAACAATCTTACTTTCATCAGTCCACAAAATGTTGCGCCATTTTTCTTTAGGCCAGTCAATGTGCTCTTTGGCAAATTGTAACCTCTTCAGCACATGTCTTTTTTCCAACAGTGGGACTTTGCGGGGGCTTCTTGCAGATAGCTTGGCATCACATAGGCGTCTTCTAATTGTAACAGTCCTCACAGGGAACGTCACACCTTCTTTCATCTTTCTGGAGCTGATTGTTGGCTGAGTCCGCGCCATTTTGGCTATTCTTCTATCCATTCGAATGGTGGTTTTTCGCTTTCTTCCACGTCTTTCAGGTTTTGGTTGCCATTTTAAAGCATTTGCGATCATTTTAGCTGAGCAGCCTATCATTTTCTGCACTTCTTTATATGTTTTCCCTTCTCCAATCAACTTTTTAATCAGGGTACGCTGTTCTTCTGAACAATGTCTGGAACGACCCATTTTCCTCAGAATTTCAGAGGGAAATGCACTGTAACCGGCATGTACAACATTTGCTGCCTTCCTTCCTTCCTTAAATAAGGGCAATAATTGCCACCTGTTTTTCAAAGAATGAATGACCTCACTAATAGAACTCCATCACTGCTATTATTTTGAACACGCCCCTTTCAATGAGTGATTCAATGACACAGAATCAGCAGCATGCATGTCATGACTGTTGGGTCTGTTGGATTTCTATTACTCTACTACACCTGCTAGGAAATGATTTGCCATGTAGGAATATCATTTCTACCAACAACAGTGATTGATCCGGTTAGTGATGTCTGACTGCTATTATTTTGAACACAACTGTACATGAATTTCTTAATCTTTTGTCTAATTTTACCAAATCTGAATCCATTATTTCATGCAGGTTCGCTGTTGACGCACATCAAAGCTTTCACAAAGCGAAGAAGCAGGCCAAAGGAGCGGTTACCTACAGCAGCCAATCAGAAATCACCTTACACTTTTCTGACATAGATGGTGGGAATCTGATTGGATGGTGTGTTTTTCTTTATACTCATTCCTCTTTGTAATGTCTTACCCAGTAAACCTCCAGGTTCCTTATGAGAGTGGAAAGTCTATGTATTGCTGTTTGTGTGTTTGCGGGTGACAGTACCTAAACAGATGCCTTAATTATTATCTTTGTTATGTAGAGTTCTGGATATTGGGCTGTAGTTGGCTGCTTCGTGTATATAAGAAATTTCCTTGTACAAATAAAGATATATGTTTTATCTTGCATTCATTTTTTTTTCTCACTTCAAAGGGAGAAGCAGGCTGAGGTGAATTCACAATCTTGGGCACTGGTCAGTTCTTTGTAGGACAGCTATTTAAAGTGTATGTCCAGGTATGACCTAAAATTGCT